CTCAAGCCATTGAGAGGAATTTGTTACAGTAATAAGCACCCAAGAAAGATAGCAAAAAACTTCAGCAAAAGAAGAAACTTTCGACTCCAACATAAACTAATTTTGTGCATCATCATATTCTCCTAAAAGAGTTGATGACATTGAAGCGATCTCTTTGGTGCTACATCATTGATAGATCTATAGATAGTGACATCAATGAAGTTTTCACTCATCTCGAATAAATACTTCAAAGTACTCCACCAATAAGTATTGCCCCTTTTGAATCCTATAGAACTCGGTCTAGACATCGTATTGGTGGGTGAGATTGTTGGTACATATCAATCTGAAATGATCTCACACTTGGCAAGACATGTCAAAGTCATGTATGATAGATATCATGCACATGAGGCTCTAGAGAGATCCATAAATAGGCCAATAAATGTTGATCATCATGGTTCTACTTTTAAAGTGTATCAGGCTTTATACGTAGATCTTTCGCAATGAGATGCAATATTTCTTGTCCTACAAAAACATGAATAGTACAATCCTATTGTCAATAATTCTCAACACCCGATAAGTGGCGAGTGATGATATCACAACCCCTAATGAAGGAGTCAAATGTGTTGTAAGCACTATAGGAATAATATTCTTTTTCATAGAAGTCTTGGAACTCCTCAAGTCATCAAACATATCCGTGAAGAAGTGACAAATAAAGGAATCCTCAAACACAAACATGAAAACCCTAGCATAACAAACGTAGCTTTGATACCATGTAGCCATAAACAAATTAATAAAATAAAAGAGAGGATAGAAGCCCTATACATATATGGGTGAGTAGAGAGAAAGTGGGCCAAGCCCATAAACATGAAAAAGATAAAAATATGTATCTCTATAGTTCAATACCAGTTTTTTAAAATATTTTATTTATTAAATGAAATTCAAAGTTGATGATTTAGAAGTCAATGTAGGCTGGCCATACCGGCCTGGCCCGTTTTATTAATCTTTCTTCCATGTCTAATAGTGGACTCCAAATGCCATGGTTATATATCCTCCACCCTCCTCCCTCGTCGCCACCTGTCTCCTCCCTAAATGACATGTTCATAAATTTATGAATGTCCCTGACGGCCTTCCCTCCGCTCTCGATATTCCTCACGGTGATCTTGTCTTGACCCCTAAATTTCAACCTCTGTATGACCATTCAGTCAAACTAGTAAGAATATACAGCAGCAAATTAGATTATGTGATTGTAAGAAAACAATGGCTACGTCTGGATTCCTGATCAACACACATGCAGGATTCATATTCCTACAAGTCAACATCCATTGTTCAACACATCTAGAAAAATATTATTAATACCACCACCTATGAATATTATTAGTTGATTGGCAAAACAAAGATGAACTCATGGAAAAAGAAGAATGGAAATGAACTTTGGATTATCACTAGTCGTAGGGCATGTGGTGCTTATGCAATCTTAGCAGTGTGTAGGGCTCACTCAATCCTTGAACAGATGTATGGAATTAGGTCTCTTAGTTTTTGATACAAGTCATAGCGTTGTCAAGAGCTGCCGATTATGTTCACATTGACCAATTCTGACGTCCTACTCACACCAGCTGAAATTGAGGAAGATGATCTCAAAGAGGTGAGCAAAAAGGGAGCATTGACCAATTTGGAAGTATCCTTAAACTCCTTAGTAAATATGACATACACTCAGACACTAAAGTTCTGAGGGGAGGTCAAAGGACAACTAGATATCCATTTCACTAGCTATTTGATAAGTCTTCATTATCATGAGTTAATAATTAGTAAATAATATAGTTTTAGCCTTAACTCATGATAAATAGACTTATATTTGTGTTAAAGCATGAAAAGTGGTTTTTAGTTGATTAACGTGAATTTTTGGGTAATTATGTGATTTTATACGATTTTTACAGTCTTAGTTTTGAGATAAATGAAGAACAAGAAATAAAAATAAAAATATTGCAAAATGGGGGGATCCGCCGGCCAGCCGGGCCTGCAAGCGGGTCGGAAGCGCAGTCGGGGAGTAGCCGCGAGCAGGGGCTCGAGCGGCTTGCTAGGATCGATAGGGGTATGGTGTACGCCACTCCCCTTCCACGTCACCGGTGGTCAGCCGGCTGTGGGGCAAGGAGTGGTCGTACACGCGAGAGGACTTTGCCTAGAAAGCTAACTTTACTATATAATCGCCCGAATAATCCGCGCACAACCGATGTGGGACTAAATCCACCTTGTTCAGGGGCGGGCGACCGCCGCAGGTTCGAATCCTCCCAGAGTCAAAATTCATATATTTTTAACTGATTATCGCGACTTTCCTGCAGATCGCCTGTGAATGATTAAGCAACCGGAATCGCTGGATCATCGGCGAAAATCTCGTCAACGCGATTCGCGGAGCATTGCTACTAAAATTTCTGAACGATTCGCGATAAAAGGATCGCAATCCATCGAGTAAATCATCTCCGATTGATCGACGAACAAGCCGTCGTCGGGAAGAGGACGATCCGCCGGGAGACCAGTCGCCACCTCTTGAGAGCGTACCAGATGCGATGAAGAGCCTCCTCTTGCTGCGCGGACCTGAGGATGAAGCTCCCTAACACGCGCCTCACCTCCATCCAGCCCCTCTCCGTCGGGTGACAGCCGCCGGAGAGCCGCAAAGTCGCCGTTTTTCCGCTCTGCCGGGTGACAGCCGCCGGAGACGATTCGACGACCCACTTCATTGGTCTCTAGACTTCGCGAGAAGATCTAGAGATTGCCCACGTCGTCTTTGTCCAAGGAGAGCCTTCGAGGCCGTGGACACTGCACGACGACCCTCCCGAACGCTCAGGATTCCGGTGCATCGCCGACGCGTCGCCGTCGCGACGCCGGAACTCTGTTTTCCTGCTTTATCTAGAGATTGCCCACGTCGTCTTTGTCCAAGGAGAGCCTTCGAGGCCGTGGACACTGCACGACGATCCTCCCGAACGCTCAGGATTCCGGTGCATCGCCGACGCATCGCCGTCGCGACGCCGGAACTCTGTTTTCCTGCTTTCAATTTAATTTACGCTTCATTTAGTGATACTTTGTTGATTTTTATTTACCAAACTATACTTCGTTCAACTACGATTCTTCCGGCTTTTACAGATCTTAATTTGATTAATTGAGTCGTCTGTAATCGCCTACGTAAGAATCGCCGGGCGGAACTCTGTTTCCGCCTGATTCGCGTTCGCCGGGCGCTGACGTCATCCTGACGTCCGCACCCTTATTTCCTCTTTTTTTTGTGAATTTTAAATATATTTCCTTTTTATTTCCTAGTATAAAATTTGTAAGAAAATCGTACTCATTGAGAAAAATTCTGAATAATTACCAGATATTATATTACATCCCTGTGATCGACCTGGAAAATTACCACTATTTTTGGGATTTGTATTGAATTATAATTGATATATTTATTTTGAAATACTTCTAAATATCCGAAAATTCGTATTTTCTAGTTTTATAAATTTTAAATTTGCGTGATTTAACATACAATGACTGAGTCACGTCAAATTTTGCGGGCCCGGCTGGCTGGCGGATCCCCCCATTTTGCAATATTTTTATTTTTATTTCTTGTTCTTCGTTTTATCTCAAAACTAAGACTGTAAAAATCGTATAAAATCACATAATTACCCAAAAATTCACGTTAATCAACTGAAAACCACTTTTCATGCTTTAACACAAATATAAGTCTATTTATCATGAGTTAAGGCTAAAACTATATTATTTACTAATTATTAACTCATGATAATGAAGACTTATCACTATCCATGAGGAACTCTTAATCCTACTACTAGCTAGGTGGACATTGTTCATGGGCTTTAATGGATGAATGAAAGAAAGAAAGAAAATAGCCGGTTATCAGCTTCCTTTTGTGTGACGTGACCTGAAACAAGGGGGTCCCTGTGGGTACCTAGTAAACTACAGGAATTACTTCTTTGCTGGTTCCATGCTCTCGTTGAAACCCTCTGGGACCTTGGTCCGGCCAAAATCCAGATTCTGGCCACCTTGACTTCATCCGGGTCAACTCGGGCGAACCATCCAAATAAGGCAGCGAAGCTCTATCACCCGGTGTGCCACCCACAAAGACTCCATTTTTGGAAAACTAACTGCCGAGAGCATGGTTGCTCTCTCCGCCAGACTGACTCAATAGGGACGCTTTCATTTCTCTCGATGTCGAGGAAGGCATCGCCTTGCACGATCGTCAAATTGTTTCGAACCGAATGCTCTTAAAGATGTCTTTTTTACGACAGGTCTTCATTTCCCGAACCCATGAAAAAGATGAGAACTATAAAGTGGAAGATATATATATATATATATATATATATATAGAGAGAGAGAGAGAGAGAGAGAGAGAGAGATTAGAACTATAGAGTCGAAGTCCGGCCCGACCCCTATTTCTCTCAGGTTCGGCCCACCCGGTGGAGAGAGAAAGGTGTCTTTGATAGCAATAGGATATAGAGGCTTACTTTCAGTCATACTTAGTCTGCATACAAGGCAAAATAGAGCGTACCAAGGTAGCAAACAGACTAAGATCACCAGTGAAAGCTCCCATGAGACGGCCATGGCATGGGGATACTAATTGTGAATTACATGGAGGCATGTGCTTGCCATAAAAGACATAGTGCACCCATAATCTCATATTCAAGTGATAGGCAACTCAGCTCTTGAGATCAATCAAGTCACATCAAAACCATGAACTAAGCAGCCCGAGTTGACACAGGTGAAGCCAAGGCGCCTTGAATCTGGATTCAGCAAGAGCATGGAACCAGCAAACAAGTAATTCCTGTATTTTTCTTAGTAGCCACAGGGACCCCCTTGTTTCAGGTCACGTCACACAAAAGGCAGATGATAAGCGCTTATGAGGAGGTCACAGGGGCACTGTTTTTGCCTGGATATACCCAGCACTGCCAATTATGAGGACCGCCCCCATGAACAGGCAAGCAGATACACAAGAGAAAAAGCGATTGACATCCTTGGGGACTGACGAGAGTCTACCTCCTCAGGCTCTCGACGATGTAGTTTGCGTAGAGATCCCTTCAACAGAGAGAAAGAGGGTGTCATTTTAGAGAGATGAGTCAGTGTACTCTTGGAACATAGGGCCAAGGGCTCTGCTCGATGACAAGTCTTACATCGAATGTTTGATGGCGCTGAAGGCATCCGTGGAGGGCAGGAAATCGTTCACTGCAACCTCCTTGTTCTCGTTCTTCTTGTCTGAGTTGCCATCTGTCAAGGAGACATCCCTCTCTCTCTCTCTCTCTCTCTCACACACACACACACACACACACTCACTCACTTCATGAAAGAAAATAACGAAGGATACAGTCCTCAAAGAAGCGGCGTATCTCTGCCAAACGGTGGGGTGGAAGCTCCTTGATGTCAGTGTAGTGCCGGTACTCGGGATCATCTGCACAGACTGCAATTATTTTGTCGTCCTTTTCACCCTGTTTTTTTTTTCCAAACGAGCATAAGCAGTATAAGAACCTCCAGAGTTCCACCACCGGAGCCATCAGACAGATGCGATTCAATACCGCTTTTGGGAGAAAAAAAAAGAAAAATGTACCTGGTCGATCATAGGCATCAGGCCTATGGCCTTTGCCCGGAGAAAGCAGCCTGGGAGCACCGGTTCCTGCATTGAGTAGAGAGCCTCCTTTAACCGAGACTGTCATTGGATAATGAATTAATGATATTTTTTAGCTCTATTCTTTTAGAGCTAATCTCTGGGTGTTTTATGGATGAGAGTACTCTAGTAAATGTCAGCAGCCCCAATAAAGGTCTGTGAGTAGTTCTCCTTTGACGTCTAAAACTGTGGAATTGGAGCCATAACCACAAAAACTGTGGAATTGAAACACGATAAGTTTGAACCCAGAATCCTACACGCACCTGCATGATGACCAGAACGTCCATAGGATCGCTGTCCTCGCAGATGGTGCGTGGTATGAAACCATAGTTGTGGGGGTACACTACTGAGGAGTAGAGTACACGGTCTACCTGCACATATAAAGGGTGACGCAGAGAGACTAGTTAAGTTTCTTGAGATATGATGCGAATGAAATAATCGCAAAGAGATGAAGGCCGACAGGTGCTGGGCCACAGCAAGAAAGCCAGACTGGGACAAGATGGGCGGTTACTTGGAAATAGGTCTGGTGGCCTACATGTATATTGATTGACAGCAAATAGACCTACCCATATGAGGTATCAGACAGTGCATGAAAATAAAAAGGCAAGCATCTAACATCAAAATGAAAAAAAAAAAAAAACTACAGAAATATAAAGCTGACTGAAAGCTTGCGTATTTGATGGGCACTGAGCCCAATGGCTGCCTTGCACGAGAAAGAGAGTCGATGATCTCATGATTTCAGATCATTCAAGAAGAGAGAAAAAAGTTGACTTTTACAACAACCTTTATGAGACCCGTTTTCTTGTCAAGCTCATATTTCACCTTACTCCCCTTCCCTATTTCCACCACCTGCAGAAAATGACTCACGTTATGGTACTTTAAAGGCAGCATATATGGTACCGGGAAAGCCAAGTTAAGGGCCCCATTCGATTTGACAGAAACAATAGTAAGAAAAAAATTGAGACGGAGACACCAAGGAAATTCAAGATCAGATTTTGCAGTTCTTTCTAAATGTTTAAGATCTAGAATATGAAAATCCCGATGCTCCCCACCTATAATTACTATCAGAGAACAGAGAATTTAAACAAAAAAAAAGGGATCCCAGATTTCTGTGTTCTCAGCATGACATGTAATTCTTTTGTCCTTCAGAGAACTACATGTACGAGATTAATATCTCGCTATTAGGCTGCACAAATTTGAAAAAAGGTGGAATGAAATCCAACCTACGTGAGCTATCAACTCTACTACTTTTAACAGCTGCTGAAAAAACTGTACTACATCAATAGACGTGAAACTTTTCTGCCTTCATTAAACAATGCTCTATGAATAACTTAGAGTTCGGCTTAGAATCGCTTGTGCCTTTAGAATATAGTCATGGCAGGGCGGAACTTTTCTCCTCGGTTTAATAAATATTAGTTGGAAGCTTTAAACGTATAATCTAAGTGTATGGTGTATACTGTCAATCGATGCTGTGGAATGTCTCTGTCATGGAATTGTAAAGACAAGTGAAATTTCGGAAAAACGCTACAACAGCTGTCCCTTCGCAGGAAAGCCCTTCCAATGATGTTATTCTTAAATAAACTTATGGAACATCAATATCAATGGCATTAGGCGCTAGGCACACTAGAAAAAAAAATCGCAACATTACAGAAAAATATGCCAAACTATTTAAGAATTGAAAAGCATCTATGAGAAACATACAACACTGTTGCTACCTAAGCCAGATACAAAGATCAATGGTCCAACACAAAAAATTCCTAGATAATTCAATTATGATCCAATTAAAAATTCTAATATCACAATTATAATAGTTTAAAAAATTGTAATAGTTTAGTAACCTTACACAATTGAAAATGATGGGAGCTTCGGGTCCTGCAATCACAAAAAGGAGGCTCAGAAAAAATATCGCTGCTGTCTTGAATGAGAGAAAAAACGTTGACAGAACTATGCACCAATGAGGTCCGTGCAATAGGTGCACTATAGTTAATTACCTATCTCAAGATCATGCCAGGGATGCGCTGCAATTGACCTCCTCGACATGGAGGCAATAATCCTTTCATTAAGTTTCACTTGGGATGGGCGTGACTCAGGAGACATATTTGGAGATTCCATAGATTCAGTCATGGGAGCAACCTAACATGAAGCCAAAACAACGATATGTTTTACAATTCTAGCCGGGAACTGTATTAAAAAATAAAGCTAGAGAATGTAGGGACAGCACGGTGAGATGCAATGAAACAGAAATGATCGAGATTTATCAAGCTCAATATTCCGATGAAAACACTAGCACCAGGTACGTGACAAAAAAATTGCTAACCACGTTAAAACAGTCGCACGAGAAAGTGAAAACAATCGTTTGAAATCAGACATTAAAGAAGGAGAGAAAGATGAAGTAAAACGAATGAACGTTGAATCAAGGAAAGAAAGCATTGATGTTCGTCCCACTGACACAGAAGTTAGTGCCGCCACTGACCAGTCCACACAGTTTTGTATGCTCAATGAATTGGTATTTGATGCGAAAAGTTCAGCCAAGGCAGACAATCGTATCCTCCTGTTAGAACGGCATTAGCTGTGATGAATTAAAAATAATACTGGGAGCGCTACGACATTATTTCTAATGTATTAAAAATAACATATTAACCGAGGCACCACACAAATCTAACTGGATCTTATCGGGTCAAGTACTGTTTCATCATAAGAAAATTTCACCGCGTTAAAAAAGAAAAAATCACAAATATCGGAATTGATTCTTGCCAATGTTACGAGACAATACCACTTTTGAGATTATGGTTCGGAACAGAGAACAGTACCGTTTCATGGGGACGAGTAACTCATTACAGATTATTTAGACCATCTTCGACAGATGAACTGTATCTATGCTTGGCTGTAACGAAGGCGGGAGAAGGAAACGGTGGCTATGAGAACAGCGCAATGACTTTGAATAAAGAACCACCGTCACTCAATTTGGTCGCAAGAACATTCATGCGTGAGAACCGTGACCAGGGAGCGGAGCGTAGCACGGTGATGGCGCCTTGGTTTTGTTTCATCACGTTATGCTCGAACAACCCCCCCCCTCCCCCCGGCTCGCAGAGAAACGCTTCCAAAATGAAACAGCAGAAAACTAGGGATCCAACTGTGAGAAGACTCCTGATGGACGGAAATAACCACGGCGCTGGGAGCGTCCCGCAGCTCCATCTTGAATGACGAGCGTTCGATAGAAAACGACACTCCAGAATCGCAGTCACGTTTCCTGGGGTCTCGGTATGCCGGCGAAAACACCGACGAGATGCCGATCCAATCCAGCAAACAACACAAAAATGCATCCGACAGAAGATCGTCCCAACAACGCATCCAACAGAGCGTACCACAGGCGGCGACACGCTCAAACGTCAGACGAGCTCAGCCACCCGAGCTGCAGCGGCCAGCGACGAGGAACGGTGGAGAGAAGAGATGGGGAACGAGAGGACAGTTCACTGGATTGATGTTCCCGCTTCCTCCACCCACCTTCATCCCTACTTAAGGTCCCCCTCCTATTTCTACTACCCTTTTCCGCTTTTTCTGTTTTTCGGGGAGACGCAAAGCATAATCCCCATAATATTCCGAAGGTTCCTGAACAGTAACGGTCATCAGAGCATCCGAACAACGAAGACTGACCGCACGTGTGGCCCAACCACCGGCAGAGACCGGGCCAGCGTACCCCTTCCTTCGTCTCCACGCGGAGTACGTGGACGGCGCCAACCGTCCGCACTTTTGCAAATAACTCCCTGTAAATACTTCTATGACCCTTTTCTCGCATAAATAGGCTTCGTTAATGTAAATATTGAGCACGTCGTTTAGTGGGGTGAAATATAATATCAATTTTTTTTATGGCGTTCCGTTTATCGCTAGAAATATAGGAGGTTGGTTTGTAAAAATAATGACAATCTATGGCACGAGTTGGGGGGTTACCTCGACGATTGATATAATTTGGAGGGGAGGAGTATCTTATTCTCCGAGCTGGTCAAGTGGAGAACGAAAGGGAAGAGGTGACGTGGCACTAGAACAGACGTCCAATTCAAATGTCTCAAAACAAGGAAATTGGGGCGGTGTCTCCAGTTGCCGGCCCATTAGCGCCACAACTTGGACCAAATTCACGAGGCCAGTTAGACGCGGCCGGTGCCACGTGGACAGGATATTTGTGGGACCCTAACACGATATTTGTGGGACCCTAACTTCTCTGAGCTGGAGGAGCGGATACTTTCATTATGCATCGCGGACAACGCGGGTGCGTTGTGCTCCGCCCTCTTCGCGGTTTTGTTAGACCAAGTCCAACCAATGAAACGAGACGACTTCCTCTAGGGGCCTGCGGCGAATCGAGAGGGGCAAATAAATTACAAAGAGACTTGTTCTGGCGGATGAGCAGACCGATGCTAAAGGATACGTCACGTCGACGGATCGGAGGCGACTTGATTATACTCGCCCGCGGTGTAGCACACGCGCCTGCTCGCGACGACTTTATAAGGAGAGGTGCCGTAAGTGGACTGTAAATTTATTTAAAATTATATAAAATGAAAGAATAAGAAAAATATTTTATCTCTCTCTCGGCTAACTATTCAACAGACGCTTCTGCCCCCTCCCCCCCCCCCTTTCTTTCCCCTCTCTCCGCCCATCTCCTCCGTCCGGATCTCCGGTCCTGTTGCTTCCGGTGCGCTTTTCTCGATTACGTCTGTGTCGGCAAGACCAACATTACGCTTTTCTCCTCTTCTCCGTCGATTCATCCATTTCGGGGTTTTCCTCTCTGCAGGACGGATCTCGTGTAGGGAGGTCGTTCCGGTTCCTTCTCGCCTTTGCATCATTCGCCCTGTCGATGGCTGCTCCACCTGCTAGGGCCAGGGCGGACTATGATTACCTCATAAAGCTTCTCCTTATCGGAGACAGCGGTAAGTGAATCGCTTTTCCCTTTGCCCATGTTTTCCGTTTGCGTTTAATTCTCTTATAAGTTTTTCCCTTGCAATAGATTGGTTACATGACATTGGTTTGGATTTTTCGTGGCCCGCCCTTGCGTGTCTTCATTTGTGACATTGCGCGAATGGAGATCTCATTTTGGCATCTATTGCAAGTTTTTTTTTCCCACGTGGCTAGAGCTTGGGCTCTGGTTGATCGGCTGATCGCGAACCTTACCGCAGCTGAGATTTTAACCCCCTAGTAACGTGTTCATTCTCTTTCCTTCGAGTTTTCGTGCACCCGTCTGCTTTAAATGGAACACCCACTCACAAAAACATTTGATTGGGCGCTTGTGCTACTTGCTATTCATGCGTTTGTTTTCGGATTAGTACTTTTTTGTTTGATCTATGATTGTCTGCTGGGTAAAGACGTGAATCCCTTTACCATTTTTTTTATCCTTCATTTTGTGTGATTTGTCTAAAAGCAAGCTTCAATTATCTTGCGTATCGCGGGTTCAGTTCTGTTAACATTTGAATCAGAAAAGTTCGTGTTTCCTTGTGTTCCCAGTTCAAATTCTATGTAAGAACTTTTTTTTAGACTCAATTTTTCTGTTGGTACAAAGATGACCCTAACGAGTTCTAGTTGTCATATCCTCGTTATTTTAGTTTTTCTCACCATTCAAAATTTGTTCTTTAAACTTCACGATTACTCATGATGCGTGACACAAATGGTGTTTCCCATTATGACCTCAGTAAATAAATTTATTTTACAAGTTGGATCTTCAGTTTCACTCATATCAGTATTTCTGATCCTTATCTGACCTCAGTGGTATTTTTTTTTTGCCCTTCAGTGCTACTTCTTCACGCTAGGAACATCTATTGTTCTTTTTTTTTCTCTGTTCTTTCACCATCTCCCTAACATGTTCTCATTTCATCTTCATTACGTAGTGTATTTATGCTGCGATCCTCAACATGTAATGTGTTCTTTTATATTTTTTTTGATGGGCGGGAATTGTTTTTCATAGCTCCTAGTAAGTTTTCCTCTGTAGTTTCTCACTTGTATGGAGCATTATACTATGTCTAGGAGCTGTTAGTTTTGCTCAGTTTTTGTCTCTATAGAGCATTAGCCTACGTCTAGAAGCATGAATTGCAATGATTGTTTATGAGACCCTCCACTATGCGCCTTCAAGGTGAAAATTAGCCCCTTTTCGGAACCTGAGTTAATTAATAGCTTCACGTAGCCCACCATCACGGACGTTTTTTCCTGATATTTTCGGCATTTGAATAAAAAGATATCGTACATAATTGTGCTGATGCATGTTAACGACGAAAATAGTTTTTCACCTTCAATTTTCCCTTGGAACTTCTGGCGTTTCTGTATTCCCCTTTATTAAATATTTTCTGCATTCTCAAAATCAATTATTGTGGAGTGGGTAGCAACTTGACGTCTCTGCTTATCTCATTTCAAGATAGAAAGTTATCTTTGGAATGAAGTGATGAGAAATGATGACTATCCTTCTCATTGAAGATAAACGGGAGATCTGGAGGCGTCTTTCCTAGGTGGCATCATGAGCTAATTGAAAGAGCGATCAACTTCCCTTGAACATAAATCGAAATGAAAACATGAAAACTTCTGCCTTTTTATTCAGCGAATCGGATTTGAAAATACATGCTGAAACTGAATTTTTCATCATTAATGGCTGAATAAAAATCTTTCTTATGATGAAAGAGTGAAAACAGAACGTTGGTCCCTACATGGTTCTTAGTTTATGCATAGGCCCAATCCATATTGTTCACTTGAATTAGGCCATATCTGCCTTCTTCATGGTGTGTTTCATTTTGCTTCGCATATGGAAAGGTCTACCGAAAACTGAATTGAAATTCAATATTTTTGGGAAATGTCTGGTAGCTAGAGTGACGGACTCTTAATTCGCTCGCTTTCTGTGCTTTCAACCCCTCCTGTCATGTTGAAGAACGACGATCACATGTGGAGGATTATATTTTTGACACGTTGTTTGCTCTTTGGATTAGGAAGAACTTGACTGCACAAAATTCCATCTTCTCATTTGCAACTTCGTGACTCTCATTTATGGATCTTCTAAGACATCTGCATTATTTACAATTGAGAGTATTATTCCACGAGCTAGTTTCCATGGAATATGTTTTTTGAAGTAGTCTGAAGAATATGGGTGGAACTTGCACTATGACGTCAGGTTGGGAACTTGCACTATGGCTGTTGGAACTTGAACTATGGCAAGCTTTCTGTATCCTGAAATTAGTCGCAAGCAGAGGGGATTCGGTGGCCCGTCTGATGAATGTCATCTTACATGATTTGGTCCGCTCCCAAGGCATTATATCCTTATGCGTTTTTGCATCCAAACTCATGGACTTCAAGCCTAGGAATGGCATTTGCATTTGGTTGTTATTTTTGCGTTTTTGCATCATATGTAGAATGCCAGTCGTTGTACCTTTAAACATTGTGTTCTGATGTCTTTGCCAAGGATGTTCTAACCACTTAAATCTTAGGCTGGACGTAGTCTCATAACAGTTGCTGGTCAGCATATCGTTTACCTGTTTATTGCACTAGCAGTGCCTGGCAGCTTAGTGACAGTTCATCTAGGTCATATGTTACCTTATATCAGAAGACTAGAATTCGGAAATGTGGTAATTCACCATTTGAGCGTTTTTTTTATATCCATCGTCGGCTGCATGCTAACGCTAGATAATTAGAAGTATGGAAAGGTTGGAGTCACAACGCAAGTACTTAATTTATCAAGAATCATCTAACCACCCATGTCATTTGTTCTTGCTGCTTGGTTCTCGAATTATTTACCATACGTTAATACTTATATGATAAAGTGGGGACAACTTGAATGCAAAATGTGAACTTCTTTTCAAAGGTTAAAAAGAAACCCCCATGGTGAAGGAATTTCTTCATATCTCTGAATACTTTCCCATGTTCCATTTTTTTCTCTTCAACCTTATTATTGATATGATATGAGCCGATGGATTCTCACATTCTAGTTTGTTGCCCTCATGACTATCTGGTACCACTTATCAGATAAATGCTTGATGCCTGATGGAATTCAAGGTCTTTCTTCATACATGTAAATTTATTGAACAATGTCTTCAGCTTCTGATATTCATAGGTGAACAAAAAAATGCTCTTCATACCATTATTGGAAAAATCAATGCATGTTGTTCTAAAAAATTATTCGGTGGACGGGGAAAACAAGTAGACTTAGTTTTATCAGTAAATATTTTATTTGGCCTTCTCAAAGATGATTATTCATTGCAGGTGTCGGCAAGAGTTGCCTTCTTTTGCGTTTCTCTGATGGATCCTTCACGACCAGTTTCATCACTACAATTGGGTGTGGTTTTTTAACCCCAAACTGATTGGCTTAAATATTCCTTCTTTTTTTAAAAAAATGTGAAGAATCCTTTTTCTCTTTCGGGATTTTTTTCTTTTCTTTTCTGATCATAGATATCATAACATTCTTGCAGCATTGATTTTAAGATAAGAACAATCGAGCTGGATGGTAAGAGGATCAAACTACAAATTTGGGATACTGCTGGTCAGGAACGATTTAGAACAATCACAACGGGTATGCTTTTGTTGTCACTCATTCAAGCATTTCAATCCTCATTACCATGTGAATGATCTAACGGGAAAATGAAAAAAATGAAAAGAGGCTATAGGGGCATCTTTTCTATGCTGATTAATTTACGTCTTCCACAGCTTATTATCGTGGAGCAATGGGTATTCTGCTGGTTTATGATGTCACTGATGAGTCTTCTTTCAACAGTATTCCTTCTTCCTCACTCCGTGCATCGTCTCTCTCTCTCTCTCTCTCTCTCTCTCTCTCTCCCATCCTCGTAAGCCTGTTCTATGTCTGCAGATATAAGGAATTGGATCAGGAACATCGAGCAGCACGCTTCTGACAACGTCAATAAGATATTGGTAGGCAACAAGGCCGATATGGATGAAAGCAAGAGGGTAAGTTCGCTCGCCCACCAACTGGTCATTAACCCATTTCCTCACATCAGTTCCCATGCTTCCCGCATCTCGTATATTCTCTCGTCTCCACTTGCATATTAAAAGCAAGCTTTTGCAGGCGGTGCCCACTTCCAAGGGTCAGGCACTGGCCGACGAATACGGCATCAAGTTCTTCGAGACTGTCAGTAGCTTTTCTCTCCCCCCCCCTCTCTCTCTCTCTCTCTACCTGTCTCTCTGTTTCAAGCCTGGTCGCTTCTTTCTCTTCTCTTTCAAGAGTCTTAAGTCGCCTCCTTGCTGCCTCCGCAGAGTGCAAAGACGAACCTGAACGTGGAGGAGGTGTTCTTCTCAGTTGCCAGGGACATAAAGCAGAGGCTCGTGGAGAGCGACACCAAAGCGGAGGTGGGTTGGCTTTTCTCTCTCTCCAACTTGTTCCCCCCTTAAGTCTCCAGCCTCAACAATCAATCCCCACCGCTCCTGCAGGATCGGACGATCAAGATCAGCAAGCCGGACCAGGCTGCCGGAGACGGGGCGGCGCCGCCGCGGTCAGCCTGCTGCGGGACCTGAGCGCCGCCGCCAGTAGCGGAGGTTTGACCCGGTCTAGGCCGGGCCGGGTGGGGGGACTCTCTATGCTTGGCATGACGGTGGCCGTTTCTATTGTCTTACTCTTCATTCTTTTCGACCCCCTTTCTCCTCTCTTTGACTTCCCATTTTCTCCCTTATTTTCGTGTATTTTCCGTTTTCCTAGTTAATTCGTGGCGCTGTATAACCAGAATTGGTATATTTTAATTTATTATGATTATTATTTAAAATAAAAATAAAAATAGTTCATAAAGGCTACTGAGCCTAGATGATTGAATATTAATTAAAACACCTACGAAGTATACCTTATATTGGGCTGAAATGTGGTGGTCTTCCCGAACGCCTTCAGAAGGCCCATTAGTAGTATATTGGGCCTGGGATTCCTGGTCCATTATGTGCCGTCCTATCCGGCCACGGGGGGCGACCGGAAAAGATATTTGTATTTATATTTAATATTGCGAGACGGCTACATCCACCGGACTTATCTTGACGCGCCGCGTGGCATAGTCAGCGTTCCTCGTCAGGAATCTGAGCCAATCAGATGACGTTTTGACGGTCGCGATTGCCGGACGGAAAAGCGCCGGCGGAGGGGACGCTGACCAAAAAGCGCGGAGGCGTCCGGTGGGGCTGCTCGGGGAGCGGGCGACGTTCTGGTGGCTCTCATCGGGAGGCTCTGAATCTTCGGTAGGTAGATCTCGTCTACGATCGTTCTCCCTGTCCATTGTTCCTGATCGATCAATCGTTCGTCCTCTGGTTTCTTCCATCATTTTTTTTTCTCTTTTTGCGTTGCTTGGTGCTGTCTGATAATTACGACGGAAGGAACGAGACTCTAAGATGCTTTCTCCGTAGATGTGCTACGATATCGCCGGATCAGAGGAGTAGAGTTTGGAAGAAGGATTGAGGTCAAAGCTGGTTTCTAGATCGATCAGAGATGGCGTGGTTCAGAGCCGTGTCCGGCGTGGCGAGGCATGCCGTCAGGAAAAACCTCATTCAGGCCTCCCACCACGTCACCAGGCCCCGCATCAGTCCGCTGCCCTCCCGCGGCTTCCGTTCAACTTCTGCCAGGCACAACGCCGCCCCGATTCCCCGCCCTGTGCCGCTTTCAAAGCTCACAGATAGTTTCCTCGATGGCACGAGCAGCGTGTACCTTGAGGAGCTCCAGAGGGCGTGGGAAGCCGATCCCAACAGCGTGGATGAATCATGGGACAACTTCTTCAGGAATTTCGTTGGCCAAGCCGCCACCTCTCCGGGAATTTCGGGCCAGACAATCCAGGAGAGTATGCGCTTGCTGTTGCTCGTGAGGGCATACCAAGTAAATGGGCACATGATGGCCAAACTGGATCCCCTGGGCCTTGAGGAACGTGAGGTCCCGGTTGATCTTGATCCAGCTTTCTATGGCTTCACAGATGAGGATTTGGACAGAGAATTTTTCATTGGAGTGTGGAGGATGTCTGGATTTCTGTCAGACAATCGCCCAGTTCAGACACTTCGATCCATACTGAACCGGCTTCAGCAGGCTTATTGTGGGAGTGTCGGATATGAATACATGCACATTGCTGACAGGGATCAATGTAATTGGTTAAGAGACCAGATAGAAACTGTTAAGCCAAGGGCATATGGCAGAGATCGGCAGGAGGTCATCCTTGATAGGCTCATTTGGAGCACACAATTCGAAAATTTCCTTGCTACCAAATGGGTAACCGCAAAGCGATTTGGTCTTGAAGGTGCAGAGACTCTCATTCCAGGGATGAAGGAGATGTTTGATAGAGCTTCTGACCTTGGTGTGGAGAGCATTGTGGTTGGAATGCCTCATAGAGGTAGACTGAATGTTCTGGGCAATGTCTTTCGCAAGCCGCTTCGCCAGATTTTTAGTGAATTTAGTGGTAGCGGTACAAAGGCAGTGGAGGAGGTTGGATCGTACACAGGTACTGGTGATGTTAAATACCATCTGGGTACCTCCTATGATCGGCCCACGAGGGGAGGAAAGAGAATCCATTTGTCTCTTGTCGCAAATCCTAGTCATTTAGAAGCTGTGGATCCAGTTGTCCTTGGAAAGATTCGGGGAAAGCAGTATTACTCTAATGATATTGATCGGACAAAAAATTTGGCAGTTCTAATTCATGGGGATGGAAGTTTTGCTGGACAAGGTGTGGTTTATGAAACTCTTCATCTGAGTGCTCTTCCCAATTACACAACTGGTGGGACCATTCATATTGTTGTCAATAACCAGGTTGCATTCACAACTGATCCAACGGCTGGGCGTTCATCACAGTACTGCACTGATGTGGCGAAAGCCTTAGATGCTCCTATTTTCCATGTAAATGGGGATGATATGGAAGCTGTGGTACATGTTTTTGAGCTTGCAGCTGAGTGGCGTCAAACTTTCCACCAGGATGTGGTTGTTGACGTTGTGTGCTACCGTCGGTTTGGGCACAATGAGATGGATGAACCGTCCTTCACGCAGCCAAAAATGTACCAGGTGCGTTCATCTTTTCTTATAACCTTTCACTCCGCTCTAGGTTTAGTCAATTTCTGAAAAAATGGTTTCATTCATATTAGTCGGCTATGCTTTGATGGAATTTCAATTTTTTTTACGCAATTACTTGATTTTATGAAGATACTGACTCCCTAAAACTTATGAAATCAAACAGGTGATTCGCAGTCACCCTAGCGCTCTTCATATTTATCAGAATAAGCTATTGGAATCAGGAAGTATAAAAAAAGAAAGCATTGACAGTATAAATAGCAAAGTTAATTCCATCTTGAATGAAGAGTTTAACAGCAGCAAAGATTACATTCCAAAGAGAAGAGACTGGCTTTCAGCCTATTGGACTGGGTTCAAATCACCAGAACAGATATCCCGAGTTCGGAACACTGGGTATGACAATGTTCCTTTGTTTATGTTTCGTTTTAGCCTAGTCTCTTGTACATTTCCTCCTGTAATGCACGGTTCCTCTCTCCAGTGTTAAACCTGAGATCCTGAAACGTGTTGGTGAAGCCATTACCACGCTTCCAGAAAATTTTAAGGCTCACAAAGTTCTGAAGAGGATTTTTGAGGAGCGTTATCAGATGATTCAAACGGGTGAAGGTGTTGACTGGGCACTGGGAGAAGCCCTTGCTTTTGCCACACTTTTGGTGGAAGGTAACCATGTCAGATTGAGTGGACAGGACGTTGAAAGAGGTACTTTCAGCCATCGACATTCCGTAATTCATGATCAAGAGACAGGAGAAATTTATTGCCCTCTTGACCATGTTATGATCAACCAAAATGAGGAAATGTTTACTGTCAGCAACAGGTTTGTCCCATAATGCTTGTTTCATCAATAATGTGCACATTAAAAGTGCTTGCATCTTTCATGTACTACCTATACAACTGCTGTCGTAACATTAGTCTTTCCTTTTTAGAAGCGGTGGTTCCTGGATTTTCATTCAAGTATATTTTGTACTGAGTCTTGTCAGTAGATTTGGTTCGTCGATTTAAATGGAAAACAGCATTTTATATGAATGGAGGAATTTCAGTTATCAGAAACAGTTATCACGAGAGCTTTCTATATTATTTTAGGTTTAATAGTTATTAAATAAGTTTCTCCCGTACCATATCAAACTTGTCTAAGAATCATTCTTTATTGCACCGTGGATCCTGAAACATATATCTTTTTTCACTGTAAATGTTCTATCGATGTAAATTTATGAGACTTGGTAATTTGATGTTTTGTTGACAACAGATATAATTGACTAGAAGGAATAGTTCCCATGAAAACTCTTAGAAAATTCTGATCTGACGACATCCTGTATTTTCTTGTGGCAGCTCACTTTCTGAATTTGGGGTTCTTGGATTTGAGCTCGGTTACTCTATGGAAAATCCTAATTCTTTAATACTTTGGGAAGCTCAATTTGGTGATTTTGCCAATGGTGCCCAAGTAATTTTTGATCAGTTTTTGAGTAGTGGTGAGTCCAAATGGCTCAGGCAAACTGGGCTTGTCGTGTTGCTTCCTCATGGGTACGATGGCCAAGGTCCTGAGCACTCCTCCGCAAGACTCGAGCGTTTTCTGCAGGTATCTCCCAACTTCCTGTTCTTTTTGGTTTGTCTCTTACTATCCCTTATTGCCGAGTACCAACCATTTCCTAGATCCCCTCTCATCTCTTCATGTCATGATTCTTCTGAGCAATTTAGTGTGAGTACTTTCTAGTTTCTTACAGAATGTTCAGTTGATCAAACTGAAATCTCTCACAATTTGAACAAAACGAAGCAGATCGGAATCATTTCTTTAATAGAATACACGGATTTGTATAGTTTCCACTTTTAGGATTCAAATGCGTCTGCTGTACATGCTATAATAATGATTGTCTTTTTCTCCCACAATCTTTTATTTTGAAGGTGAACCTTGTTTTATAACATTTTTGGCTTCCGGACATGTAGATGGAATTAACAATCTGATAAATCAGCCTTGCAATGAATGATTCTATTTCTGTATAGATATCTGATTTGGAAGTTGATATAAGCGCATTTAAATATCATTTTTAACTATTCGTTAAGAATTGACATATATGTAGAGGCCATATGTCATTGTTTACTCAGAGCTCATATTTTAGCAATCCCATTATTCTGTTCATACTTCTAGACCCTGTGCTTTCATGCAACTTTCTAATAAGAACAATACATTTGTGATAAGTCATCTGGTGGCCGTTTTCGGTAATGGAGTCACAATTGAAGTATTGCATTTGTCTATTGAAGTCATTATTGGGTACTCTTCTTGTCCAGATCATCTTACCGACTTCCACCATGGGAAGTTTTATTTTGAGTTCCCAGTTTTTTTTTTCTTCTTGTTTTCCCATCAATTATTGTGCCATATGTAAAAGGTTGCTTCTACCAGTTGTTGGGTCCCTTCTTTTTCTTTGTATTTTTTTTACTTTTCAGCTTCGGTTGGGGCAGAATTTATTCTCTTTCTACTATTTTCTTGTCACATTTGCATGGGTTATATTTTTGCCTATGTTTTATAGCATTCTGCCATCTGTTGAATGTGTTTTGGACTCAGCTGGAAGTTCTGATCCAGCTTCAATGCTAGAGAGTAGAAAACTTCCTCACGCTTTCTTTCAGATGAAACTCCGTTTTTCTCGTTATCAAACAAAATGTCAACGCCTCAGCTTTTTCCATAATTCTCCGTTTCAATTATTATCCCATGCCGAGACACTGGAGGACTCTCTAAATTTATTTATTTATTAAATTATGAATTAATGGGTCAAAATTTTACAATGCAGATGAGCGATGACAATCCTTACGTGATTCCCGAGATGGACCCAACCATGAGGAAGCAGATCCAAGAGTGCAATTGGCAAGTGGTCAACGTTACAACACCGGCAAACTACTTCCATGTCTTGCGCCGCCAGGTAATGCCGATGCCAGCTGTCTGGGGTGGGCCGGAGAACGATGAATGTTTGCTTATTTTCCCCATGTTCCTCTTTTCCATAGATACACAGGGAATTCAGGAAGCCCTTGATAGTCATGTCTCCGAAGAACTTGCTGAGGCATCCCAAGTGCAAGTCAAACTTATCTGAATTCGACGATGTCCAAGGTCACCCGGGATTCGACAAACAAGGGACCCGATTCAAGCGGCTCATCAAGGATCAGAACGACCACTCGGATCTCGAAGAGGGCATCAGGCGTCTGGTTCTGTGTTCAGGAAAGGTGGAAGCTCCTTCTTCCTCCTCCTTTCGGTGTCTATGTATGAATATTCTCCATGCTTCAATTTTTTCTCCATGACGAATACTCGAGCTCTCATGCTGCTGCAGGTCTATTACGACCTTGATGAGGAGCGGAGAACAGCGGATGCCAAGGATGTGGCCATCTGCAGAGTGGAGCAGCTGTGTCCCTTCCCCTACGACCTCGTACAGCGAGAGCTCAAACGATATCCAAGTATGTTTAATCAATTCATGGGTCGTTATAATAATTATTTTCGATTCCATTTTTTTGGTTTTTTTGTTCTTCGACTTACTTAATGAGCATTCCCATTGTTTACTTCATGAGGACCACATCTGTTGAGATCAGATTATCTATCCCCTAGAAACGTTCAAGTTCAATCAGATACTGTTCAAATTATCCGAAAACAGTCAAGGATCATCATATCCAATCCTACCAGATACATTCATATATCAAAAGAATGCAACCCCCCATGCATATTTTAGATTCTACAGTTTCAGATCAATGAGCGATGAGCATGTGAAGTATGAGCTATGAATCGATCTAAAGAAGAATCATATGTTTTCTGTGACTGCAGATGCAGAGGTTGTGTGGTGTCAGGAGGAACCGATGAACATGGGAGCATACAACTACATCTCTCCCCGCCTTTGCACCGCCATCAGAGAACTGGGCAGAGGACCTGTGGAAGTTACCAAGTATGTTGGGCGGCCGCCGTCCGCCGCCACGGCGACTGGGTTCCTGGGCATTCACCAGAAGGAACAGAAGGAGCTCGTCCAGAAGGCCATCGGCCCTGATCCAGTCCAATTCCCTCTCTGAGATCCTTCTCCCATTCCTCCCCCCCAGTGTGGAAATCATCATTCTCCATCGCTCTCCTCTCTGGAGGATGAACTGCAGCCCACACGGCGGCTGTGACCGCCGGAATAAGATCGGAACCAGGCAGCTCCTTAGATCCAAGAGAGAGAGAGAGACTCTGATTTCATTTTTTCTTGTGGGTGAACTGAAGATCATCCAGCCTGCTCTGCTTGATCGGCTGGCTCCTTAGATCCACATAGAGAGAGAGAGAGAGAGACTGATTTGATTTTTCTTGTGGGTGAACCGAAGATCATCTAGCCATCGCTGCTGAAATAAGTAGTAGCAGTCTCCTTGCTCCCCGCCTGCTGCCGGATCCGGTAAGATCTGTCCGTGTTCTTGAGAATCGTGGGGGAATTATGTGTTTCTCTACCCCTCCCCCACCACCACTCTTATAATTCTTAATCACCCTCATATTATAGACGATAATCAGTAATTTGGTGATAATTACCCTCCATCTGCGGTCAACAGTGGAATGTGATGAGGGCAGATGGCAACCCATCTCTGGTCAGAAGCATCACGAGGGCTGTCGGCCTCCGCGGCAGACCTTGTGAGTGGCGCCAGATCGGACACCTTGGTTCGGAGAGAGAGAGAGAGAGGAGATGCTGTCGAGGGGAGGGTACGCCACGTGGGGGAGGGAGTTTCTGTCCCCTTGGGCTTGGGCGGCCAAATCATCCTTCCTCGTTTGTTTTTCTTCTGCTTTCGGCTTGTCTCGAAACGTGACGGACTCGCCATTATTTACGTCAACAACCTCGAAGGCCGCTGCAACGTGGACTCGATGGCGTCATACCCAAAATAAACAAATATTATTACAAGCCCAAGGATGTAGCTCACAGTGCCCCTCTCTCTCTCTCTCTCTCGCTCTCGCTCTCGCTCTCTCTTTCCATGGATTTGTCTCTCTAAGAGAACTCGGCATCATCTACAGACGGCAGCGGCGAGTCGTCTTCCGGATGATGGGGAAGTCTTCGTCGTCGGTCCCCTACCGCGGCCACGCGGCCTCGAAAGCGGCGCGTCTGCGGCACTCTCTCTCTCTCCCTCTCTCTCTCTCAAATCTTTTTCTCTTCCTTTAGTTCGACATTGAAGGAAAGGAGGACGGGTCAGCATCTGGGCGCCTCGAGGCAGCTCTGAGTCCTCGAGAGGAGGAACAGCTCCTCCGCCTGCACGCGGGCGCAGGAGGAGGCGGCGCCGCCGGGGGGCCGCCGCCTGCAGTCGCCGGGATCCGCGGCGGAGCCGCCGCCACCCGGCGCCGCCAGGACGGAGAAGACAGAGCAGACAGGGCGGTGGTCCGAGAATCTGGACTCCCCCCTGACGTAGCTCTCCTGCTTCATTCCCTTCCCCCTCCAGAGGATCCTGTCGCACCTGCAAAAGCCCACATTGCATGGACCACCGCAGAAACCAGACGTCACGAACATGAGATTTAAAGACAGAAACGACAGCAAAAGACCGAGGAATTAGCCCCCTCGTGAGCCCACGTTGAGCTCGCCCTGTTCCCATCCCAGCTTCCGGCGGAGCCGCCGCCGCCGCCGTCTCGACGACGGAGCCAGGAAGCCATAAACGGATAAGGGCATTAAGAGGATACGAGACTGGTCAAAGGCTCAACAGTGACTGCTTTAGTTCATCTCAGACACACAGGAGAGAGATAGAGAGAACAGCTCAGAGAGAGTGGGGACAGACATCGAACAGACTCTCTCTCTCTCTCTCTCTCTCTCTCCCTCTTACTAACGTGCTGTGGATGGAATAGAAGGGGGAAGAGCGTACCAGGCAGGGGTCCGCCGCTTCTCTCTTGAGTTGACCGTCTGCATGGCGTAGCGGTCGGAGTTGGCCACGTACTTGTACGTTGGGGGGAAGCATATCCGGCCTTCCTCCCATCCCACGAAGACTCGACCGGCCCTCCGCTCCTTCCGCAGCTGCACCGGCGACCTCTCATGAGCGAAGAAGAAGAAGAAGAAAGAAGACGCCCTACCCCACCCCAACCCACCTGATCTCTCTCCAGCAGCGCCGTCCACTCACTCCTTTGCAGCAGCTCCGAGGTATCGCCGCCGCCGCCGGCTAGACGGTAGTTCAGATCCCCCAGCCATATGATCTTGCTGAGAAAAAAACTCGTTTCTTGTTAGCTTTTTAGAATAGGAATTATGTAGATATATGTAGGTGTTTGGAAGGAAGCTGTGGGAGCTGCTCACTCGTGTTCTAAGATGGTCGCCGGAGAGGTCGCCGGCGCCGGCGAGGAGGAGGGACGGGGGAACCTCGTCTTCCTGAGTATCTCTGTTACGTCGGCGTTCCGCCGGAGCTCGTCGCCCTCCTTCTCCCCCGACGTAAGGTGGGTACACACGAAGCAAAAGGTCGTCCCCCGCAGCGTCATGCTGATCGATATCGAACCCTGCAAAAGCCCGAAACGCCCCCCCCCCCAATCGTCACCATCACAGAGAGAGCGAGAGAGGGTTAGAGAAAGAGATAGAGAGAGAGGGGGACCTTGTTGCCCATGTAGCCCATGATGCCGCGGCCAACGCAGGAGACCCGGAGGCCGGTGACATGGCGGAGAAGGTGAGAGCGGACCCACACGCAGAGGAAGACGCCGACCATCTGCTTGCTCGCCACCAGACGGTAAGCGCCGCCAGCGGGGAGCAGCAGCTCCGACGACCCCTCGTCGCCGGAGTTGGGGCTGGTGCTGGGATCCTCCTCGTCTTCCTCCGCCATCGTCTTGGTCATCATGCCCTCTAGGGAGAGGAGATCGGAGAAGCTGAACCGGGGCTTCTCCAGCTTAGCGGCGGCGCCGCCGTAGCTGCCGCTGCGGGAGGCGGCAAAGGAGGCTCTCCTGGGGTGGTTCAACGCTTGCCGGATTAGGGCGAGCCACATGGCGGCGGGCCCCTTGTCCTCCGCCCCCAACACATTCCCTGCGTTCAACGGGACGATCTCCTGGAATCTGTCGCGAGCAATTCTCAGCCAGGGAAAACCAAGAAGAGAGAGAGAGAGAGAAAGGAGAGACTCAGAGTACGAACCCGAGGACGTAAATGTCGACTGGAGAGGGGGAGAGGAGCAGGTCCCTCAGGTTGAGTCCTCCATGGGGAGCCCTCCCTCCCACATTCCACGTCCCTACGAAGACCCTGCACCATAACCCTAGCCAGTTTCAGAGGATCCCCTCCCTGGAAAGAAGCCAGACAGAGGAGGATGAAGAAGACGACCCCACAGCGCCTACCTGACGTTATCTGCTGCTGCTGTTGGCTCTACATGGAATTTGGGTGTGTGGTCCAGATATCCGCCGGGAGCCACCATCCTTTGGAGAAGAACACCGTCTCTGTCCGAACAGCTCTTCCTCCTCTGCTGGACTCCGT